TTATCCCACATTTTTTTATATGCCCAACCAAAAGTTCAAAAGTATGTAATATGTAATGCACAACCATATTAATTATATAATGAAATTAAAACACAGTATTTGTGCTCCGTAATCTACGTGATTAAGTCAATTGCATATCAAATATTTTTTTTTTTACAATTTTTCGAGTACTGCCTTTTTTGTCGTACATAATCTATGAAACAATTGCAATTTCTTAATTTTAAAGACTTAAAATTATGAACAACATTATAATTACACACCAAATAATACAGGTACTATTGAGAGAACTAATTAAACAGAAAAAACCGAGTCAGTTTTATTTTAGTTTTAGATACCTCGAGTCGATAGGAAAACTTCAAGTATTATGCAATGATATAATATATAATAGTTACATTGTAACCAGATATATTCTTTATATTTTTCTACTGCTAAAATACAGCTTTTTTCATTATTACATATGACATGCTACTAAAATTATTAATAATGTAATTTAAATACTGCATGTCATTTGTGTGAATTGACAGAGATTCAATTACTACAAGATATACATATATTTAGTCATACATGTATACATAATTATTAGTATGCATTATACTTATATCGTTTTATGATTTGACTGCAAGAAATAAAATTGCATAAACCACATGTATGCGCTGTTACCTGGTATACTGATTGAGAAATTCATAGAGAGTAATGAATGAAATAATCCTAAAACTAAAAAGCAGTCTCTTCTCATACTAAGTTAGATTTAAAACATTAAAAAAGACTTAAACTTATTGTTATTAATTATAATATTTATTTCATATGATTAATGCACCACTAAATTCGAATTTGTCCTCAAATAAATCTATGAATACCTGTAACTGCATTAGAAACTATATATTTATATATGCTGTTCTTTTTTTCGATTTTTCATATTTTTACGGGGGAGTCATAAGTAGAAGTGTGAAAGCAAAATAATGCGAAGCATCGTGTAATCGAGAAGACGGTCTTTTTGCTGTGAATAATCTATATGATAAATCTATTTAATCTGCATGTAATCACAGTTGCTGCACTCATACTAAAGTATGTTGTGACTAAAGTAATATATATTTACTTCATATAATCTTATAAAATCCTGACAGTTATGTATCTATCACAATGCAAAAAATGTTAATAGAATTTGTACATAAACATCGTTTCCAAGAATACGTGTAAGTGGGGAACTTGTTCTTCTCTTCGAAAATTTAATTGTTCTTACGAGTTAATGAAATTTCAAGAAGCAATGAAAGATGGAACGGGACGGGAATTTACATTTCATTTGAATTTCTCGCATAACAAGATACATTCACCACTCACAGTATTTTTCAATCATGTTACATTTCATATACATATTCTAATCAGTTTGAAAATATCATTTCATAGTGACTTTAGACAAATTTCATTACTTAATTAAAGTAAATAAGTAATACGTCGACTCTCGGTATTGCAAAAGAGAGCCAGAAGAAGTGTCCCTCACAGCCTGTGTAAGACTTTAACTCGAGATCTTCAAGTCTTTCGAGACATATGCTGATGCAGGACCAGAATTGTGATGTATATTTAAAAAGAGAAACGAAATAAAATGAAAAAGATTTACAACAGAAATAGATTAAAAGTTTTCTCGTACAATAAATGTGATTAAGTATTGGTTCAAGAAAATATGCATTGGATTCCATACATGTTTCAATGCAACATTTTACGTACATCAGTCTTGGCGACCTCAGTATGTATTCTTAGTTTGTAATTAATGTTATTACGGAAGGTGTATACCAGTATAAAATAAGTGTTACAAAAGGAACTCTTAAAAAAGTGTCTCACCTAGAAACGGATACTATAATGTATAAAAACTTTCAGATTTGAATAAAAGGAGCATTCTGAAAGAATTAAAAAGAAAAGGTTTGTGTTTGTTCGGGTGCAACAGTTCGGATACGATGCTAAAAACTTATGAAAATTTCTACATCTGTCTTTGATATACCACAATTTGCAAGTAATTCTCTTTTTGAAAATACATTCCCTGGGTTAAATAAGAATTATAAATTACAATTTTTACAACAATCGATTTATGTATATGTCATTGTATCGGCGAAAAAATATATGTTTAAAATTAAACGTTTGTATTATGCAATATCGCGAGACTATAAAAATTTGAATAATATATTTGTTTTTTTTTCATTTAGTTATGCAACTGACTTCATTACTCTTAAATATCATACATATAACAGCATTATTATGTATATTATCTGCTTTGATGATCATGATACTTTTTTGTACATGTAGTCACAGTCCTTTAACTTTTAATATGGTTCAGTTAATACAACTGTGTTACTGAAGGTGGTAAATATTAGCCATACATTATAGCCCATGTTTTATTCAAAGGAATAAATGTATGACTTCTATGATGATTCTGCAGTAACTTCTGGTGGTGTACTTACAGCTGTTACTGCCGATTTGAATGCTGGGACAAATTCAGCTGCGTTTGGATTTAATGTACTCTGAAAATACAAGAAGCCCGCGTGACATTTAACTGGCGCTATAACTGAAATTAAATGTTGATAAAAACGTACTTGTTTAGCAAGATCATCGTGCACTTTTAGATTACTAAGCTGCTGACATAATTCTGCACCATTATCAGGCATGCTTGTAGCAGTGGACCAAGCAATAGAATTTATATTTCGCTCGTGTTGTCGCTCATCTTCCCACATTGCTTTCAAGCATTCCTCTGTCAATTCTTCTTCCATTAATTGTTGGATCACCTAGAATTTCCAATTAGTAGGTAAACAAACTCTCATGAGAAGTTTGAATATATTAAGTTAGGAATAAAAATTGCTGGACCTCTTTATCAAATTCTTCCTCATTTTCCATCCAAAGGTATTCGGAAAAGTCACTCTCATTTGCTCCTTGCACGTCAATTTCAGAATCAAAACTATTGTCCATGAAGGAGATGATCCCCGTTTCATGTCCATAATCGTTCCCTGAACGATTGTTAGGAATCTTCATTTTCATTCCAAATATATATTTAACAATACAGTGAATAGTCTACAAACGTTAAAAATACGTTATTATTTATTACATTATTTCGATAAATTTCTAAGTAGGGCAGTAGTCGTAATGAATTCTTTTAATATATAATTAAAGATATTTAAGTGTTTACGACAGGGAACCTTGAACTCCCTTACATGAATAAAGCTTTCGCTCGAAATATTTAAGTGGGTATACAATTGCTCGGTCTACACATATGGTAGCATTGACTATGAAATTACATTTTCTGCTGCACCAAACTAATCGATTCGTCGCATTTACTTTGAATTTACCGATGAACACATAGACAAACTAAAAATTTAGAATCGTAGTGTTCACTGCATCGTAGCAAACGGAAACGGTGAAATATCGCTTGACAGATCTGTTACAAGGCGACCATTTTTAACTGTCTACTTTTAGTATCGACGAACCGATATTTATTAATCTTTACTCATAATTACACCGTGTATCTATTGTTGCTGCAAGAGGAGATAATACTCCGACGTACGTAAAGCGTTCACATACCTTTTAACGATGAGGATTCGGACAAATTCTGATAGAAAACACGATTTACGCAGTTCATGGGTAAAATACGTGTCGCGCAACACAAATTAACCCTTGAAGTAATATTGGGATGGTGCTGCCACCTCATACAAGAGGAGCAATGCACTTTGTGGCCCAATATACTTGATAAATATTGATTTTTATATAGAAATTGATTACGATCTCTACTATGAGATAATTAGTTACGTGTAATCATGTTATATTCTTTTTATTTCATATAGATCTCACAGGTGGTGTACCTTTTGAAACTACTCACCATTCGTACTTCATATTGTATTTACCATTTTTTGTATTCATTATACTCGACGATATAATGTAAAAATTGTTTGCCAGCATGCAAAATAGTCTTAGTATATGCACAAACAGAGAGATTACTGTAATCCGAATACTCATTCGGATAATATAGTAACGCGTTCTATATTTAAATTTCTTATCTAACTAAACTCAACGCCTTTCAATTCAAATATTGGGAAGGTCAAATCAGTTGATCTTCATCTTTAAACGAGCCGTTAGACCAAGGATTCCTTGTTATTCCTGTGGAAGAAGGTGGTTGAGACGTGTAACGAATCACGTAGTGAAAAGAAACTTATCGCTTTCCTGTTTTGACTTCGGCTGTGTATTTACATTGAAACGCTTGCCGTGTGATTGGTTGCTCCGGGTGACGTGCGCGTGTGCCAGTGTGTTGACGTTTCATCAAAACAAAGCAGGATCGCGCGTCTCCTCGAGCATTTTACCTCGGTGTTTCGTCGCGAATACATCGTTTTTCAGCGCTATAAACGTGTATCCATAAGTGTCCAGTTGGCTAATTCCCGTGGCGCGTTTTACCGTTTTTTAGTGTGACTGAGTGCGTGGGCCGCTATGTCGTCCACCGTGAAATTCACCTCGGACGAGATATTGGGCGGTATGTAACAAATATACGTTTCTGAACAGCAGCTGTCAGTCGAACGTCGCGGCCATTTCGCGTGACGCATAAACAAATGCGAGCTTGCTTCCTTTTTACGTCGTAGGCGTATTTGTTTGCAAGGACACGTTACCCTGAATGTTGTTTGTAACTGTACCTCTACGCTTCGAAACATTGCTTGAGTACTGTTGCTTTTCTGTCGATGAAAACTAAAGATTCGTTTGAAAGGTTTTGGCGCGATCATCTGTTCTCTTCTAACCTGGCCTATGCCGGTATGACATCGTTTCTTGATACAAAGTTAGTGTATTTTGTTTGGGGATCGCAATTGTTTTGTGCAAACTGACTGCTGTTAAACATACAGTAAGCGTAACATTATTTAAAGATCATGATTGTTTTACTTTTGGGAACAAGATAATCATAATTATTATTAACGTTTGAATGCAATCTCGTCGCTTGTAATTTTGTTAACCCCGTTCACGATTATCATTTTTATTTCACACGAATTTTACGTTCTGGCAATTATTTACGTGTTTTCGTTCTTATACAGAAACTCGCTTCGCGATAAAAGAGATAATTTTTAAAGCTTAGCCATGCTCTGCTGTTTATATAGATATTTTACAATTTCGATAAGTGAGAGACGATCGATTTTCAACTCGTATAGCTGGAAATAAAACGGTTATTCACGGGTAAAGTGTTCCCCGAAAGGGAAGCCTAACATCAAATTCCGGCTATGTCTCTGACAGTTCGGGAGAAAAGAATCACTCTATTTAGCGTGGGTTAACCGTTTGTGTACTTTGAGAGCGGTTGAGGATAGAGAACAAATGGGAAAATCGTGTAGTTTTGTTTGTCTACCGCCCAAATCCCTGAAGGATTAGCATTGTTCAAAGCTAAACCGTAGTCTAATACCTAATCCGCTTATTGACATTTAGAAAACATTAAAACGAAATAGAAATGGCAAATTCTTTTGTACCCAGTTTTAAGGTTCGACGCAGAACCGCGTCACAAATAATTAGGTCAGTGTCCTATAAATGTTCGGAGACGCTCTCGAATCGTCTGAAAAGAGTACCGACTAACGTGGCTCTCGGCCAAGTTCACGGACACGTCTTTTATACTGTCGTTTCTTATTTGCCCTGTTTATTCCGTGGGAATTAAAGGTAAAATGTTTACGTGATCAACGTCAGGCAACGAGTCATTATTCCGATGACGCAATGTTTATTATTCGTGCCGGACGGTCAACAGGTATCAGTAGTATAATTGGAATGAAAAAATAGTGATCGCAGCTAATGTAGCCACCGCGGGTTAAATATAGTTGAAGGAATGTAAACCGGACGCTACGCTATAAGTTATCACTTCCTGACAAAATAGTTTCGAGGAAGATAGTGCAGAAGCTGGACGAAATAGTGCTACGTGATGGTCCTCAGGAACGTAGCTTAAAAGGTGACGTCAGTGTTCAGACGCCACTCTATTGAGAAAGGTCGATCTGTTAAGGCCTGCCATTAAAAGGTGGCATCTTGGACGTGACTCACCTCGCAGAGCTCATTGTCCCATCATTCCTGTTGGGGTAAACGTGACTGAAACCTTGCAGCTGCACCTGACTACGTTTAGGCAGGGCAATTCCCTTGTGGGACGTTTCCCTTTTTCCTCTGCCCCTCATTTAGAAAAATACAACTTCTACAATTGGGCTTCAGTAATAAAAAGACTCTACAAGGAATTTTTTCCCCTCGAACGTTTTCATATTTTATTAGATTTAATGAATATATAGATATATATAAACAAGCGCAGTTTTGAATCTAGTTTTACTGGACACTGTGTATAGAGGAATTTAACAAGTGTTGCTATCGTTGCACCCGGGATGTTTGATTAAAATAACGGACTGATAAAGGGGGGACGCGCTCGCGTCTATTTTTAACCCGTAACGCTCGTTGGCGGACTTTTAATTCAATTCATTAAAGCCACCTACCCGTCGTGATTTCGTGGCACGTGACGTTTCCTGCGTTCGTTTCATCTACGCCAATGTAGCCTCTCTAATCCGTTTACATTTCATACAAATTGAGACGCTGCAGACATCGTAATCGTCACAATCTAGACAATTGGATAGTTTCCATATAAACGGAAGCGTTGCATTTTAAACGTCAACTTCGTTGCACTGACCTACGTTAATCTGTACACTTCAATGGCGATAAAGAGGTCGCAAGAAGTCTGATTACTGGCGTATCTTTTTCCATGTTAGTTACAAAAACAAGTCATCTGCTCTGTACTAAATTTAATTTGATAATAACGTAATAAAAGTGTTCAGGCAATGAATATAACGCGAAAGAATAAGCAAGAAATTTAACGGTAAAAACTCGTGCGAACACCGCTTATCGTAATTCAATTTTATGCAGCTTGCTGTCATAAATTTTACCACGTGTCGTCGCGAATTGTGTTCTCTTGTTGTAGACGTACTTATTTTGTAAACTTCGCCGCGTAGATTATGCCAACAGTTTTCTGCGCGATCAGCTTACGCGCAAACTAAATACACTGTCACTACTGGAATTAGATCGGGTATCTGGAGACTTGATTTTTGTTTTGGGGTCAGATAGGATTAAATATTTGGACACGCGAGCGATGAGTCATGCCAATCTCGTATTTTACATTGCAAATAAAACTAGGTTAGGATACTTGCTAGCAGTTTAACTTTCAACCGCTTTGTTCATAGTCTTTTTTATATTAATATTTTCTCCCAAAAGATGCTCGAGTCTCAGTATCTCTTTATTTTGAGCCGGGTGCACGCAGTTGCTGTCAATATTCGCGGTAATTGAACGTGTTTGTTCAGACATGTTTGCGTAGTAAAATACGTATCGAGAAGCGTGCGAGGGGGGCAGAAAGATAGCAAAGTCGTGTAGCTGTTTTCTACGTAGAATACGACTGTGACACGTGTGGCCTTGCTGTGCATGTGCTCGTTTATTTCGATTAAAACAGAGTACGTAGCTTCTTTTGAATGTACATTATGAAACGGTCTTGATCGATTTGCTACTTCTCTTATCTGATGTCAAAAGGAGAATCCAAAATTGAACGACAAATCATTTCCATTGAAGGGAAAAGGAGATCTAATATTCTCCTCCGGTTTTACGAGATTTCTTTGTGTTCTTTCTCTTATTCTGGCGACCGTAGTACTTGGCGTATTTTCGCATAATATGGTGTCTGATAAAGTTGGACAATTTCACTATTTGTAGTAATCTGTACATATTTATACGGACCATATCACGGGAAAATGCGTAGCAGCAGTCTTCGATCTCTTCCAGTGGCACGCTAAACTTGAGACACGACGAGACCATCTTTGCTATTGGCAACGACGAGAATTTAATAGTATGTATTACTCAGATGATTTCGAGGGTGACATTTCAATTTGATAAGGCTTGAACTTTGCGTAATGAAATACGATCGTCGATTGAATTTTTCAGAGGAAAGATTGCTTTGAATGAATCGCGGGGATATTGCGTCGGGTGTAAAAATGTATATATCATGTTTAAACTATATTTAGCGATAAGAGGAAGATACTTACATTCACGAACATACCACCACCGGTTTATCGCGAGGCTCATGATACATTGTTAATAATACGTAGTAGTAGTAAATGATACCATTCGATTATTTTATGATTCGATGATGCAGTTCAGCTTAATAATTAAATCAGCCTGAAAACCGATTTACTGACACGTATAATCCTGAATCGTTCAACTTTCTATTATACCAGAGGAGAAATTGTTACTCCTAAACGAATCCCTACTTGAATTTTCCTATATCATTTTTAAATTGATTTTCCGTATGAGTGTTTCTTATCAAAAACTAGTCAAGATATAAATAGAAAAGCGATTGTGCTAAGATTGCGCAATGGTACGAAATTTCTAGATTTTAATGAAACATAGATTAATCGGAAAAGTTTCTCAAGTATGTGGATATTCTATATTTGACGGTCGATTAAAATCGATGTTTCGCTATAATTACATACTATTTCACGGGACGATTATATTACCTAAGACGAGCCTACGTAACTCGCTTGATTGACGCTGAAGGAAGCTTGTGTATTGTAGATTATAGACTTTGCAGTATAGAATTTTTGCTTGTTGAAATTCGAACAGGCGTCGATGCAACGATATCTGATCGTCCCTAACGCTAAACAAGGCTAATGGAAAATAGGACAAAGAACTTTGACATCTATTAAGGATGTATTGGCTATACAGTCAATCCCAAAAGTTTATGTACCTTAGAAAAACGCATTTCCTATAATTAAAAAGAAATCAGACGTCGGAAGAAGAGTGCTAATAATAAATAGCTACGTGCTAAAAAGTATAGAAGGAAATATCCAATTAAGTACTGACGCTGACGAAAATTTTTTTTTCTTCAAAATTTCGAAAAATGCTTCAAATAAAAGTTGTTTTTCTTCTAATTTCGATATTTAACGAGTTACGTATGATTATTTGGCATTTTATTGATGTTGACAAAATCCGACCATCCCAGCGTCGAAACGGCGAACTTTTGGCAAAAAATGAAATTTTTCCTTAATTACTTCTAAACCGTTGAATTTACAGGAAAATTGGATAGGACCTTTCTTGTAGAGGACGACGAGATCTACAATTTTTATATAAAAGTTTGTCGCTAGCATTAATAG